GATGTGAACTTGGGCAGCTTATTACAGGGATTCTACATACGCACAAGCAAGAACACAGATTTTGTGTGGTGCTTTAAAACCTATTGATATCGAGTGTTCTAGATATGGTTGTGACAATAGTGCACCACCGGGCACTGATCCTATATTCCTTACCATACGTCAAACAGACATGTAAATTTCAGACAACAAGATAAGGCCACAAGAATGCCATTCTATGCACAGTTTTATTGAGTTACTTCATTATAATATTTCTAAATTGATAACTTTTTATACAGCCAGGTGTTGAAAATTCATGAGGTAAAGCAACTACCGGAATCATTTGCATTTGTAAGTATATCAGAAGCTCTAAACTAGATTGATCACATCAGTTATGTCAGTGGTGATCGAGCCATTATAGGCATTTTGACAGATGAGATAGAATTGGTATTCATTTGACTCTGCAGGTAATATATGCAGGAAAGCTCACGCAACGCCAGATCTTTCACCAAATAAAGATTTGCAGATTAACAGACGATGCAGGATTCTGAGCCTAGGCGACATTATTTCAAACAATATACATAATAATAATAAAAAAATTATAAATAATGATGAATGATATATTCCTCCCAAGTCTAACTGCATGAATGGCGGTCGAAAAATGTCCACGCGCAAAAAAAAAGCAAGGCATAACTTACCGCAACAACCAACAAATCTGAGCTGAATGCAACGTATGTGCGTGCTCAGAAGACTTACAAATTTCATGTGTCATGGACGCTGATGGACTATAAGCGATGAACAGCTTGACACACCTATCGAGAGGTGAAGCGGCTCTAGGTCTATGAACCAGCAGAGACATACGATAATATGCTCATTGTCAGGAGAAGAAATCAAGTTTTAAGACACACCAGGATGGTGACAGGTTGTTAGTGTGTTCACGAATGACCCCCATCTGCGGTCACCACAAGTAATCAATCGTCCATTAGATGGTCTGCACGTTATGAAACACTACCGCCATGTGCACTGTACTAGTTAGACTCCAGAGGTCATAAATGTTAAGAATAGGAATCGTCTACAATGCCGAAGACAACGTAGTAATTAAATAGTTATAAGAAAGTTTTATCGACCATACAAGGTTCCAGCTGAACGCCGCCACTAGAAAATTAAGGTACGTGTAAAAATGTACCTAGCCGAAAAAATAACCAGAAAATTACTGACGATTGTCTAATCTGTAAAGTTGAACACAGACCAAGCGAAAGTATTACATGCGCGGAATGAGATTCACGATTAGGCAATGACCTACTACTGCCTTTTAAGTATTGCATGGGAGGATATCTCTGGTTTTGGCGGAGAAGATCGCCAAACACCTCTTATAGATTGGCAGCATGAAAAAAAAGATGGGCAGTTTTACTATTGCTTTTTCATCCATTTCACAAATAAGGACTTGGCCATACTCTCAGATGTTAGCATCATCATTTGCATTTTGCACGCCCAAACCCAGATTCAGACGGTGGGATGGGGGTGAGATGCGGCTTGAAGCCAAATGCGGAACATGCGGTTGTCCATCTAGCTTATGCGAGCCGTCACCTGCTTGCGTTGTCAGAACGCATCATCAAACGAGGCGGTAACGGGCGTTCCGGCCCATTAAATTTGTTTAGGCAGCCCAGCAATGACCAGAATAATCAAATTTTCAAATGAAAACGAGCGTCTATCTCTCACAAAAACTCCAATATAATTTTGACCTTGCTAAGAATTGGCGAAGATACTCACCATACTGCAAGAGTGAAGGGTCGATGGGTGCCATATTCATTTCAAGGGAAGCCTTATGTCCGGATTGACACTCACACCTGAGATACCACATTATGCCCTTATATGTTAGATAATATTACACTGCAGTATTTCTACACTGGAGAATCCGGGTAAACGCCACCCAACTGTATGTGTACTTCTGTTTCCATACATCACTCGCGCATTTTATATGCGTAATATAAACAATAATAGCTACATGTCGAAATATTTATAACACTTTCACCCTTTAATTCGTTTTCCCGATATATTTATCGGAAGTTGAGAGAGTGATGAACAGTAGCAAGTATGGAATTTTCGCGAGTATGCCGAACGTTGGTATGATCTGCGGCTTCGAAAACTTTGCAGGGTCTAGCGCGAGGAGGCTGGGGTTGGCGAAGACAACTGCTATCGTGGCACCTCCCCACATGCCCTAGGGGAAAGTCCTCTCGTGCTTTGGTATAGAACACGTGGATGAAACTACATATCAACGACGCGACCGTCAACAACAGCTACTCTAACGACCCCTCCGCGAGTTTTTGGCAGCCATTAACCTAATGTCAACAGATACACCAATCCGTCATATTGCACAGCAAAGGGAAATCTCGGCAATGATTACAAACCACAATGTATGTGGTCACTCGCCGACTTCACATTATTGAAATGCAACATTATCATCTGTGCACAAGACCACCTGGCCATCACTGTCATAAAACCAACGCTAGCAATTTACTGCATAAATGCCTACGGAAATTAAAAAAAGGAGGCTAGCATCTACGCTATTCGAAATAATTGCGCACTCGACGCTCGTCGTACTTACGGCTTTCACATCAGCATGTGGGACGTATTACAAAGTTTTCTACGACTTACAAGCACTGTCTTTTACATTTCACAAGTAATCTACCTACTGTACTAGACTGCTGTCATAGGACTACAATATCGTGTAGATATATGGTAAGGGTCTTGACTAGTATAGCGAACAGCAAACCATTAGCAATAATACGTTTGCACGCTCATCGCGCTGAGAAAACACTTCCAATCACGAGGACCGCTAGTCGAACGGGGACACAATCAACACAATAATTATACAGCGTTCCATAGCCGACACGATCGTCGGGAGACCACAAAGGCGCTGCATGGCAATCTTCGTACAGCTATGAATTCAGACATATTTAGAAATGGGCAAAACGATTTCTAAAGGAAGGCTAGCGCTATCGGATGGAGCTGAGGCCACAGCCATTCTCGCACACGCGTCTCGTTTTCTTACAACCTGAAGGTTATAGAAGCGGCAACCATATATTGCTCTCCGCGTCCGTGATTTTAAAGCAGTAATATTTAAACTAAATATATCGATTGGCACTTGATAACTAAAGCAGATCTACGCTATGTTAAAACTGTAAAGGTTTGCTATACGGCCTACTTCGGATACCATACGCAAGAGCATGGTTATTCTCGTATAGGTGTTTGCTTGATTAGGTATTATACAGTCACACAATACAACACGTGGTTAATATATTACACTTACTTATATTAAATAAGTGTAATACTTTTTTGGAATACGTAGCTCATAGCGTTCGGCAACATTGTAGGAGTTTTTATTTCATTCAACTCATTCCAGGAGCCAAATCAGCCAGGGGTATACTAAAGGATAATACTGTTGTTTTTCGCAATAGTATTCTTTGATGGTACCTTGTGGGTAGAGGCCCTTTACACTCGTAAACATCTCCTAAACATTTGATCTGCTAAAATATGGATGGGGCAGGCGGGATGAGGCGGCTGCTTCGACTATTTTGAAGTGAATACAGAGCCTGTTTGGTGGAATGCTGCCCGGCACCACAAGAACAATGGGAGCGAAGTGTTAATTATAGTGTTATATGACGGTCTGGATGTCTTCCGCCGATTACTACAACTGTGCATATAACACGGGGGGTAGTTTGCCATAAAAACAAGAACTTATACGCTATTCGCAAAAAAGTACGGAAACTCACAACCCGGCAGCTAACTTTCTGGTGGATGTGTAAGTCCTTGTAAAGAAGACGTTCGCGGCTCTTGGTGTGTGTTTTGTTGTTACACATAGCTCATAGTGTTAATTGGCTGCAAAACTACTGTGGGCGCCAAACAAACGATAAAAACACCAGAAAAATTAACTCGTAAACGACCTAGCTGATCTAGTACAAACCCACACCACAGGTGCAGCACCAGAATCTTAAAAAAGTTGGAAAGCCGTTAAAATCTTGCAGCATTCCATATTTAGTTACTCGAGTTCGGGAAATAGCGACGTGGCGGCTCCAGAAGAAGATGGTGAGGCATCGGCCACGTTGCCCCTATCTATAACGCTAGGCATGGTGTGGAAGAATGGGTTGAACTTACCCACAGGCGACCGCTGTTGCTTTTTAGTTTTCAAGTCGGCTGTGTTACACACAGAAATACACGAATAAATGCACGTGTCAATATATATATATATAAATATATATATATTATTATATATAAGACGTTATACACACATGCGCATGTTACGCACACATTCTCATATAAGATTACTTGTTCATTACATTTCGAGCGAGGACCCACGCATGCTGGCGGAGCTATTTCTGCAAGTTCTAGCCAACGGCAACCCGATTCTGTGCGACTCGTTTGCTCCGCTTACCTACTCACGTATGGCCGTATATTGTACGACGCACAGATCGGAAAACCTTAGAGCTTGTGATGTCGCGCACGAAAAATGTTCTGCCACAGATTTAGTACAGACTTACAAATCTTGACGCCTTCGGCAAACGTACCTCTAAGATAGTTACGATCGCCTAGGCACTGAGAAAACTTGTGCAAACCTCTGCTAGGGACAGCGACCGATTGGCACACTCGGGAAAGATAAAACATCTATAAATTGTCACAACCTGTTTTAACCACTTCTACGTAGGCAGTTACAGAAAGCCTGAAATTGAGTTAATTCGAAGTCTGAGTTCAGATTTGAGGCCTACAAACAATTAAGGCAACCACTAATATATACCAATCATCAAATTACAATCTGAATATTTTAACGTGCGAAATGCCATAGATGTACTATACTTCACAATAGGAAATATATCCGAGCTTTGTAGTTATCCGACTTAGTTCGTGAACATGTAAACTGTCAAATCTGTTCGATCTGGCCAGAAACACTTCCAATTTAATTACGCGACTAACATATAATAATATACAGACAGCAGACACACACACACACACATATATATATATATATATATATATATATATATATATATATATATACAGAATAAAAATGGATGAATGACTAAAGTTACAACTCCAAAAACATTAATATAACCCCATTTCTGCTTACGTGCTTGAACTTGACGCAACTCACTATCAAAATCCACGTTCTTAGATTCTATTTCAATGTTCGCCTTTGATCAAAAACATGCATTCACCATTGCAACATACCTAATGTTTTAAAGTATTTCTGACACTATTAACAGGCCAAATATTTTGCGAATTTTCGCTCTACCCCTATGATCAGATCTGCGATTACCCAACATGCGATTACCAGCTGTCAATTACCGCCACGATGGGGACTAGCGAGCGGCCTGTTTCTATATGACACGTTGCCAAGCTACTACCCTGACACCTCAGTAAAACATAAAGCCGCGAATCGGTATCGCATCATTTTTCAATTTTCTGTTTAAAAACTCGGCATGTTGCAAAAAAGATGAACGAACGTTGTTAATACCGTGAAATGTTAAAATAAACACCAAGAATGTGGATTTGTGTATGTTAGTTATTTGTGGTGAGCGTTTGAAATGGGTCGACATTAGTGGTTTTGCATTTGCACATTTGTAGTCTTATTCATTTTTGATATCATGTATGTATGTACCAATCCTCCCATCATATCTCCTCTCTACTTTATGCAGCAGTCCTTCATTGAGTTATCCACATCAGTTTGCAATTGAGTGAAATATTGCTACTTCCGCTATGTGCACGACCTTTGGTCTGCTATATAGCATCAGTAGCGTCTACATGCAATTACACGTTGAAATAGGTGCAAAAAAACCAAATCGATGTCCAGACAGAACAATTTGCATTCAACATTTTCATAAGTGTTTGTGGGCTTGACGTGGAAGAGTAAAACACACTTCTTGCAATTCTATCCGGTACATACGGACATTCTTCCTGCCTTAAACCTGAAAACTGATCCAATTTGAGCTCAAACTCAGCTCAATATCAAAACGAACCATGTGCCTAAGACCCTTAACACAGCTCATTCAATGCTAACTCTCAACGGTGATCTACTTGGCTGTGATGGTTAAAGCCAGTTCCTATTAGCACAGAGGATCAACTATCTATGTCTTGGCCTAATGCAAATGAAAACACTGACGTTAGCCATGAGCTACAAACTGGAAGAGTCGAGTTTATCTGGCCGCATCACTGTGTGAGGAAACGCAGTTCCCAAATTCCTCCCCTGCAAACTTTAACTACCGTCTTCTGTTGTATGTGCTACCACCCGGTGTGTTGTTCTCCGCATGCCCATCACTGCAGTCGTTAGACACGTCTCCGTCTACAAGCAAGTTGAACGTAACATCTTTTAGACAAAAATGTACAAATCCGTCATATAATATAGCACTGCTCCAGTTATGCATTGTAACAAAAGTCAAGACACTGAAGCTGGAAATAATTTTTTTTTTATAAAGTAGATGCTACACAGCCAAGTATGAAGAAATGTGCGTAAACTAACAATGTACGTAGTCGACATTTCGATATGCAATTTAATGAATCAATATATGATGATTTCATTAAATTTAAAATCATCTCTTGACAGTTGGTCATGCACCAAATACTTCACCATGTTAGAAATAACAACCCCCTCAACATGGTCCCCATGTTTAGATACATGAAAACGAGTGCATCTGTACATGTGTCTCAGCCGGGCCTATCCTAGCCCAGACATATCATGACATGTAGTTAGAGGCGATTACCTGCTCCCGTGTGATTGTGTAGTGACATTCCGGCTGGTATGCTGTTCTGTAGCAATTCGTATGCTTTTACCTCCTTGAATATGTGGTCTGAAAGACAACCGACAAGATGCTGTTAACAGTATTTATTTAGTTTCTACAGAGCAGGACATCCCCGTACTTCTCTTCTTATTATTCTGGAAGGAGTGTACCACATAATGTGCAGACATGCATTCCCGAGGAATACTATCGTACACAGGCAAGACAAAAGAACTGTCAACAACTTGGCAAAAGAGGGTCACAATGATACATACACACAAGCCTTAGTTTACAGCAGCCTGCCATGGCAATTGGCAAGTAGTAAATAATTAATGATGAAAATCATGGATTCTAATGAACTCAAAAGTAAATAAATAAAACAACATTTTGGCCACTAGATAGAGTAGATAGTTGACCATTCTGGTCGGTACTTGTTACCTATTATAAAGTCACTACAAGAGCCGCAGAGCGGCTGAGCTCATCTGGGGTCTGTTGCTACGGTTATAAACTTCAGTCGTGCGTAGTGACACATTTGTTAGGCGCAGATATGCAGATACGCAGTTGCGTACACATCATTGTTACAGGCTTTCATTTTTAAGGGGCGCGATCGCGCTCGCGCTCCACC